TTTGTGGTGTCTTTGCCTGGTTTTGGTAATACTGGCTTCATAGAATGAGTTTGGGAGTATTCCCTCCTCTTTTATTTTTTGGAAAACTTTAAGGAGAATGGGTATTATGTCCTCTCTAAATGTCTGATACAATTCAGTGGTTAATCCATCTGGTCCGGGGATTTTGTTCTTGGGTAGCTTTCTGATTACCAATTCAATTTCATTGCTTGTAATTGGTCTGTTTAGATTTTGTTTCTTCCTTGGTTGGTCTTGGAAGGTTGTATTTTTCTAGAATGTTGTCCATTTCTTCCAGGTTATATGGTTTGTTAGCATATAGATTTTCTTAGTGTTCTCCTATAATTCTGTGTATTTCCGTGGTGTCCATAATGATTTTTCCTTTCTCATTTCTGATTCTGTTTGTGTGTGTAGATTTTCTTTTTCTCTTAATAAGTCTGGCTAGGGGTTTATCTATTTTGTTTATTTTCTCAAAGAACCAGCTCTTGATTTTATTAATTTTTTTCTATTGTTTTATTCAACTCAATTTTATTTATTTCTCCTCTGATCTTTATTATATCCCTCTTTCTGCTGACTTTGGGCCTCATCTGCTCTTCTTTTTCCAGGTTCAATAACTGTGAATTTGGACTATTCATATGAGACTTTTCTTCCTTCTTTAAAGAAAGCCTGGATTGCTATATACTACTTAGATTTGCCTTTGCTGCATCTCACAGAAGTTTGGGCATTGTGCTGTTGTTTTCATTTGTCTCTATATATTGCTTGGTCTCTGTTTTAAATTGGTCATTGATCCATTGATTGTTTAGGAGCATGTTGTTAAGCCTCCATGTGTTTGTAACCTTTTTGTTTTCTTTGTACAATTTATTTCTAGTTTTATACCTTTGTGATCTGAGAATTTGGTTGGTAGAATTTCCATCTTTTTGAACTTACTGAGGCTCTTTTTGTGGCCTAGTATATATTCTATTCTGGAAAATGTTCAATGTACATTTCAGATACTGCTGCTTTTGGGTGTAGAGTTCTGTAGATGTCTGTTAGGTCTCCATCCATTCTAGTGTGTTGTTCAGTGCCTCTGTGTCCTTACTTATTTTCTGTCTGGTGGATCTGTCCTTTGGAGTGAGTGGCGTGTTGAAGTCTCCTAAAATGAATGCATTGCATTCCATTTCCTCCTTTAATTCTGTTAGTGTTTGTTTCACATATATTGGTGCTCCTGTGTTGGGTGTATAGATATTTATAATGGGTATGTCCTCTTGTTGAACTGACCCCTTTATCATTAATGTAATGTCTTTCTTTGTCTCTTGTTACTTTCTTTGTTTGAAGTCTATTTTGTCTGATACAAGTACTGCAACACCTGCTTTTTTCTCCCTATCATTTGCATGAAATATCTTTTTCTATCCCTTCACTTTTAGTCTGTGTATGTCTTTTGGTTTGAGGTGAGTCTCTTGTAAGCAGCATATAGATGGGTCTTGTTTTTTCATCCATTTTATTATTCTGTGTCTTTGGTGCATTGAGTCCATTTACATTTAGGGTTATTATCAATAGATATGTACTTATTGCCACTGCAGGCTTTGTATTCATGGTTACCACAGGTTCAAAGGTAGCTTCTTTACTATCTAACCATCTAACTTAACTCACTTATTAAACTATTATAAACACAGTCTGATGATTCTTTATTTCTGTCCCTTCTTTTTCTTCCTCCTCCACTCTTTATATGTTAGGTGTTTTATTCTGTACTCTTTTGTATTTCCCTTGACTGATTTTGTGGCTAGTTCATTTTATTTTTCATTTAGTTAGTATGTCATTGGTCTACTTTCCTGTGGTTTTATTTCCTTTGGTGACATCTATTTAGCCTTAGGAGCACTTCCTTCTAGAGCAATCCCTTTAAAATACACTGTAGAGATGGTTTGTCAGAGGTAAATTCCCTCAACCTTTGCTTATCTGGAAATTGTTTAATCCCTCCTTCAAATTTAAATGATAATCTTGCTGGATACAGTATTGTTGCTTCAAGGCCCTTCTGTTTCATTGCATTGAATATATAATGCCATTCTCTTCTGGCCTGTGAGGTTTCTGCTGAGAAGTCTTATAATACCACTATGGGTTTTCCATTGTAGGTGATCTTTTTCTCTCTCTGGCTGCTTTTAATACTCTGTCCTTGTCTTTGATCTTTGCCATTTTATTATATGTCTTGGTGTTGTCCTCCTTGGGTCCCTTTTGTTGGGAGATCTGTGGACTTCTGTGGCCAGAGATTATTTCCTTCCCCAGCTTGGGGAAGTTTTCAGCAATTATTTCTTCAAAGACACTTACTATCCCTTTTTCTCTCTCTTCTTCTCCTGGTACCCCTATAATGCAAATATTGTTCCATTTGGATTGGTCACACAGTTCTCTTAATATTCTTTTATTCCTAGAGATCCTTTTATCTCTCTGTTTTAGCTTCTCTGTATTCCTGTTCTCTGATTTCTACTCCATTAACAGTCTCTTGCACCTCATCCAGTCTGCTCTTAAGTCCTTCCATTGTTTGTTTCTTTTCTGTTATCTCCCTCCAGAATTCATCCCTTAGCTCTTGCATGTTTCTCTGTAGCTCCATCAGCATGGTTATGACTTTTATTTGAATTCTTTTTCAGGAATATTGGTGAGTTCAGTCTCACCAGGCCCTCTCTCTGGTGTTTGAGGGATTTTGGACTGCACAAGGTTCTTCTGCCTTTTCATGGTGATGGAAGTGATCACCAGAAGTGGCGCATGCTTCAGCTGGGAGAACAAAGACCCTTCCTGCTGGCTGGTTGCCTTGCCCGTGTCTGCTGCCTGTGCCAGTCAACCACACACAGGGAGCAGCCTCTGGGTTGATCCCCTGAGCTGCTGTGGGTGGGGTGGCCCTCCGGATGGCCTAGGGTACTGGTGGTGGTTGCAGGAGAGCAGCGCATTTGCTGCGAGAACAACCCAAACGTGCTTCCTGGACTCCATGCCAGCTTCCTCTGCCTGTGCTGGTCAGCTGTGCACAGGTGCCAGCCTCTGGGTTAATCCCAAGCTGCCATGGATGGTGCAACCCTTGGGATGGCCTAGGGCACTGGTAGTGGTTGCAGATGATCAGCGCATGTTTGCCACAAGAACAGAGCCCCTACGTGCTTTCAGGACTCCATGCTGGCTTCCTCTGCCTGTGCTGGTTGGCCATGCACAGGGGGAAGCCTTTGGGTCTGGCCTGGTTAGCTGTGTGCTGGGAGAACAGTCTGTGTGGTTGCTGTGCATGGGGCTGCTCCCTGGTTGCTCCACAGGAGTGGTGGGTAAGCCAGTTCACTAGCAGTGCCAGTGGGAGGGAAATGAACGGAAGGCTGCTTATGACCATGAGGTGTCTCAGAGCTGCGTTGCCACCCAGGGGGTTAGAGTGCCTGAAGTTCCTTAAAGTTCTCAGCCTGCTGGGCTGAGTGTGCCAGGACAATTTGTCCACCTGTTAAGCCCTTGTCCCTTGAAGATCTTTAAAGCACCCGCTTTTCTTTTGTCCCAGGGCAGCAGGCTTGGGAACCTGTTCGCAGTCTTAGTCTCAGATTTTGCTTTTCTGTTCCTCTAATATCCAGCACACCATGCAATGCGTGTCTGTGCTCCCAGTGCAGATTACTAGGGCTGATTATTTAGTAGTCCTGTGCTTCCACTGGGTCATGGCTTTTCATGAGATGTTGAATTCTCACACATGTAGATGTAGCCTAGCTGGTGTACTGTATCTTCTGGTCACTTTTAGGAATAGTTGTATTTGCTGTATTTTTAAAATATATATGGTTTTGGGAGATTTACATCACCCTACTCATGCCGCCATCTTGAGAATCTCATTTCCTTAGCTTTTAACCTAATGACCTTTTCCTGTTCCAGCTTCCATCCAAGAGATGGAATTGCCTTTAGTTATTATTTCTCCTTAGGCTCCTTAGACTGTGATAGTTTCTCGGCCTTTTCTTGTTTCTGATGTGCTTGATGTTTTTGAGCACACAAATCTTTTGAAAATTTAATCTCTTACATTGCTCTTGTATAGAACACCACTACAAATATTATTTTGAATTAAGTATTACCTCTGACTTGGTGAAAATCAAATCCTGTTTGAAGTAACTATGTAATAAGGATGTAATTTTAACAGCCTTGTATGTACATAGGTCATATTATTTTTTATTGAGTAAATATGAGATTTAAAGTTCATAGCATTCATTGGGTGGGATATCTTCTTTGGATCGATGAAGTCAATGGAGCTCTAGGCTAAAAAGATCAACTGAGAAGAACAAATCAGAAGGTACTATTTTCTCCACAGCCTTGGGTAGACTGTACATGGCATATGTTATATGGTTTCTCTTTATCTTTGTAAGCATCTTGGGAGTAATTTGGCTTGAGATATATCCTCTACCAAGTATTTCGCTTGTCCTTTTTTATTTTTTAAGGTATAATTTACATATAGTGATAGGTACAGATCTTATGTGAATAGTTCAAAATCCACACTTCATCAAGATAGAGAACATGTCCGTCACTACAGAGTTATCTCATGCCCTTTCCAAGTCAATGTCTTCCCTCAATCCTGAGAGGCAACCATTGGTTCCATTTCTTTCACCATAGATTAAGCTTGCCTATTCTAGGACTTCAAGTAAATGGAATCATACCATTTATACTCTTTGTGTCTGGCTTCTTTAGCTTAGCATGTTTTTTACATTCACTGACATTTTGTGTCTATCAAAAGTTTATTCCATTTTATTTCCAAGTAGTATGCATTGTATTTTATCAATATACAATTTCTTTACCTACTCATACATTGATGGAAATTTTTTTTTCTGATTTTGGCTATTACGAAGTTGTTATGATTATTCTTAAGTTTTTTGGGGGAGTTATGCTTCTTGAGTGTGGAATTTCTGGGTCATATGACTGGTACATTTTAAAGTTCTAAGAAAATATTTTCCAAAAATTCTACAATTTTCCAAAGTGGTATACCACTTTACAGTCTGTGTTAGTTATCTATTGATGTGTAATAATATTAGCACAAACTTAACAGCTTACAGCAATACACACATTTATTACCTCCCAGTTTCTATGGGTCAGGAGTCTGGGCACAGCTTAGCTGATCCTTTGTAAGGCTGCAATCAAGGTATTGATCACATGGTGTTCTCACATGGAGGCTCAACTGGTGAAGGTTCCACTTCCAGATTCACATATTGTTGGTAGGATTCATGTCCTGTGGTTGTATGACCAAGGGCTTCAATTTCTTGCTGGCTGTCAACTGGAGGTTGCCCTCGCTTCTAGAAGCTGTTAGTAGTTCCTTACCATGTAGGGTTCCTTAATGTGGCCATCACGTTATCAAAGCCAGCAAAGGAGCAAGAGACTCCAGTAATATGAGTACTACAATCTTACAAAATACAATCACATAATAAAATACATTTAATCATGTACATTCCATCACTTTTGCTACATTCTATTTCCATATTCTATCACAAACCCCACTCACACTCAAAGGGAGAGGATTACAAAGGGTGTGGATACTAGGTAGGGAACAAAGAGGGTATTAAAATATGTACCACATATTCCCACATAAATGAATAAGTGTTTTGGTTGCCTCAAATATCTGCTAACATTTGATGTTGCTGTCTTTTTAATTTGAGATATTCTAGTTGTTGAAGCATGCATTATGGTTTTAATTTGTATCTCCCTAATGTCTAATGATAATAAACATTTCTCCATGTGCTATTGTCCACTCATTTATCTTTCTTTGGGAAATGTCTTTTCATGCATTTTGCCCACTTAAGAAATTTACTTGTCTTGTTATTATTGAGTTGGAGAAGTGCTTTATATATTCTGGATAGAGCTCCTCTGATAGATTAAGTATTACAAATATTTTCTCAGTCTAGATTTTGCCTAGGTTTTATCTTAGCAGTGTCCATTCATGAGCAGGTATTTTTAACTTTGATGAAATCTAATTCACCAATTTACCTCTGATGTTTAGTGCTGTCCTAGAAAGAACACTCTTCTCTTAGTAATTAATAGAACAATCAAATAGTGCATTTCTAAATAATTCATGATACAAAGAAATCACAAAGGAAATACAATATTTTGAGCTGAATGTTAATAATATGGTTCCCACTCTAACTGGAGAATTATGATGGATCAATGTCAGCTCAGACCCTGTATCTAACAGTTCCTAGGGACTAGGCATTTCCCTTTTCCAATACACTGTTACCCTGGCAAGTGGCCCCAAGTCCTTATGGAGAGCCACTTGCTTCAGGAGTCATTGCGAGATTTACAGATGAGACTATTCTCCTCTGGCAAGTTGGAGGTGCTGCTTCTGCCAGATGGGAGATCCTGCTATAATTGGTGGGCTAGAGCTGGCTCATATCAGCTTGCAGGAGCCAGCTATATGCATCTTCTCAATGCTGGATTTAGTGATATTATGTTGGTAGCTTGAAATTGATTAAATTGGGAGTGTTTATTGAACAGAAATTGGCAAATACTACAAATAATGGTCCTTCCCTGACTTCCCTTCCCTGAGAGCTAGCTGCTAAACTTTTTCCAGTGTACCACAGATTCAGGGGAGAATTGGGTCCAATATTCTCAGGCTCATCTACTCAAATGTCCCATCCCAAGGCTTAGGTCTCTTTTCCTTTTCAGGGACCAGAGGTGGAAAAAGAAGACCCTGCAAATCTATGCATTTAGATGCTTTTTCAGCTGTACTGCCCTTACAATCAGATCCTGAGCCTGATTTTTAGTATAGTTTGTTTTAGGCTACAGAAAATCAGTCTTTTAAAAAAAGTGCCAAGAAAGGCCCTCTGCCTTTCTCAGTATGTCTGATAGCTGACTGCCCTGAGGTATCATTTTTTTTGGAAGGTATACAATTCCATCAACAGACTCCATGCCATCCACAATTACTGTCCCCATTCTGTTCAAGCACCACAGCCACCACAATTCCAATTTTCCACCTTCTACCTGCACTGTATCCCAACTAACCTTAGGCTGGAAGCCTCAGTAATTACAGTATCACTGTGTGGTCCCCTTACCACCCACATATCATGCTGTGGGTCTTTTATTGCCATTAAGATAATTAAGTAACCCAACTCTAATATCCCATCCTGAATGCCTGCAGGACTCTCTGGTGGCAAGTCTTTTAGTTTGGGTTCTCTAGAAGAATAGAGCCTGAATGCAATTTGTGAGAAATATGAGTGAAGACAAAGGGTAGTGGGCAGGGAAGGACGTATTATTTATTAGTGTGTATGTGTGCACACACACATAAAATGGTATAGTACCAAACAACCTACGTCTTGCTTTCAAGCCCAACTGATTGCTCAGTGTCATGGGCACATACTAGACAAGGAGATACCTTGGTTAGCAAAACAAATATAGGTCTACCCTCACGGACAGGGTTGGCTTTATGGGTGTGTAGCCATGCAGTTCTGTAACACCCATGTCAGAAGGTCCTCATGCTTGGTTTAATGTTCTGCTATTGCCATCTTGAACATCTCCATAACTTTTGAACAAGGGGCTCTGCATTTTCAATTGTCCTGCAAATTATGTTAACTGGTTCTGCTAATATAAATTACAGTTTAGTAGGGAAATTAATCATATTATCTCTCCTGAAGAGTGTGAATTGGTGACTCAGAGTGTTTCATTGGTAGCAGAAGAACAGTACAAAGAGATGAAGACTAACAGCATTCACAGTGGCAAGGAGGGGAGCCTGCTGTCGGATGGGTGACAAGACACATGAATGTAGAAGAAGGGACTCTTTTCTAGCCTTTTTCACTTTTTTCCCGTAAACTGAGTGGGTCCCTGTTTCTTGAAACCTGAAAAAAACCAAGAGTACACATGTATGGAAGGTGATGTAAATCATGGTAATGGAATAGAGCAAGAGGAGGGCTGAAGATGTTTTAGACCAGTGCTGCTTCACACTGTGAAGGAACTTTAATTTCTACTTTTCATGAATTGATACTTTCAGAAAATACAAATTTTTAAAGTACTAGAAAAATTAAATGAAAACAAAAGAGGCACACCAAATACAAACTCACTTTTTAGTATTTCAAACAGACATATATTACATTTCAAAAAATATAATTAGAACAAAAAATAACATAGGATAAAAGAAAGAAAAACTACCTTGTTCACTGAAAGTATATATGTAGGTGATTAATGTAAGGAATTGCTAATACACCCTTAATTTTTTATCATTCCACAGTTGTAACAAGTAAACAAAAATTTGGTAATGAAGTAACAATTTCCCATATTAAATAATATAACAATATTTGCTATTAAATTTGTCAATATTTAAAGTTTTTAACATGACAAATGAACATGTTCTTGCTTGTTAAATGGTCTAATAATCTAGGTTGGATTGGTGATAATGTGACTAGCAGCAGATAATGTGTATCTAAACTCTTCCTATGTTTTATTTAATAACATTTATAGTAGGGAAATCAGTCTCTCAAAAGTATGTCTAAGGTAATGGAAGAAGAGATTTTAAAGCAATTTCAGCAAGCTCAGTATATTCATTCTTAATTTTTATCCAAAATGAATCAAATGATGCTTTACTTTTAAAATTCATCATCATCAGAAAAACTTGTCCTGTTATAGTTACATTGAGATTATCTTTAAATGAAAGAAATGGGTTCAGTATCCACAAATTCCCTATGTGTAGAGTTTACTTTCATGGAAAATAAAAATTCAAAATATTTTATCAAATTTATCTTTAGTTTGTTTGTATTTTATATGTAAATGCCATCGAGGTTTGATGGTTATATTGCTTCATTAGTCAGTTCCTGGTTTTAGCACTTTACTATGAATTATGGCTATGAACACAATAGATGCAAGGGTATACTTCTGAGTAAAATTACTACAAACACTTAGATCTTTAATTCTCTGGAATCACTTCTCTAGGCATTATTTGGTTTACTGCTGTTATTACTAACACACTACTGTTGTGTATTTTTTCTTGACAAAACAGCACAGGGAAGCCTATTTCGCCATCTATAATTTAGGGTTAAAAAACAAATGACACAAATTTTCCATCCCTAATTTAGCTACAAATTTCAAAAGACAGGCTTGGTTAAAAATTAAAATGACTGTAAAAATAAGAAGTTATAAAAGTAAATAAATATTTATTTTCACAGATTTTTATTCACTTTTGGGTTAAAATTTTACTCCTCATAATGCAGTCCTATTGCACGTGACAAGGACACAGCCAGGCCACCTGCAACTCACCATGTAAGTTGGAGAACATTCAACTGTTCTATATATTCAGTTTAATGAGACATGTCCAATGATCATGTGCTTGGATATTGCTGAAATATTAAATTGCTATAAAGCTGCTATGCATTTACTCTTAATTTCTGTACTTACCTCCTTGTGGACTACCAAGGACCACATTTTTGAGGTAGTGCTGCTCTAGGCAACCTGCAGTGAAGAGACTGAAGATGAACTAGCCAAGGACTTTATGAAGTTCATGAACTTTATGAAAGAAGGAGAAGAACAAGGAGACCATGGATTTATGGAAGACCAGGAAAGTTTTAAGAGGAAGTGGTGAACTGTGTTAGTTTCAAAAAAAGTCAATTAGGCTGAGGATAAAAATAAAACCACTGAATTGACAATTAGGATATTGGTGACCTTTGAAAGAGTGATTTAGTGGAGTGCTGGTGTTGGTAATAGAAGAGAGTGAGGACTAGTAGGTTAAGAATTGCAAAAGCAGGGAGAACAAATGGGACTAAGAAGCTAGATAGTTAAGAAATGGAAACAGTGAGATAATTTAAGAGTGAAAAAAAGCTGAAGGAAAACTTGTTAGACTCAGGAGACTCAAAAAAATATTCTGATGTCACTAAAGGCCTCAAGCTGGAGAAGGGTCTATCTCCACATAAAAAGTCTAAGAAGTTTTTTGGACTTTTTTTTGTTTCTTGGTCTTCTGGCAAGTTAAAACTACTATGGAGGTGGAGGAAGATCAAGGCAAATGCCTTTTAAGGATCTGCAGAATTTCTGATACTTCTCTGGCAGTGCAATAGAAAGCTGTGTGGGGATTTTGATTGATTCAGTTGCTCTGGGTTGTGTGCAAGGATTTTAAATACAGTTAAATTAGTTAAATTAATCCATGGTAAAGATATTTTTGGTAAACTGAGAGATCTCTCTTTGATTCATCATAACTGTGGTAAATCCAGATGTTGATAAACTGTGTATAAATAAAGCAAGTCCTATTTACATATGAAGAGTTTACTTTAGTTTCCAGAACTATCCTGTTTTCCTGGGCCCTCCACTTTTAGCAAACAAGCATTTATTGTATGCCCAACACTGTGCTGCATACCAAGGCTACAACAATGTCTACGGTTTGGTCTCTCCCGGAAGGGGCTCACAGAAGAAATATTATCAGTCATGATGCTTTCTAGTATCAATAAATGAAAACCCATCTCAGCTAAGGTCAGCTCCAGGGTTGGGCAAATCAGACACTCAGTTGTCACCAAGGACCCATATTTTTTGATATTTCTACTATACCTTCCTCAACATGTCTGCTTTATTCTCAGGTCAGCTTACCTTAGGTCTCAATGGTTGCATGAATTTTAAGTACCACATTCTCATGATAATAAAGGGTAGAAGGACTGTGTCATCTCTGTATCTCATTTTTTCAGGCTCCCAGGAGATAACCTTTGATTCTGCAAAGACCAAAACTGCATCTTTAGCTCCTGCCTGGGCAAGGTGAATGGGATTACCATGTTGACTATTCTAGTATACTAGTATTCACTCTGCAGGTAGGGCTGGGTGTGGGCCCTGCCTCCTGACAAACTTGCAGCCCCCAAGAAAGGGTGGGTGGACTGAATTTAGGTGGGACTGGCTGTACATAGACCAATGATTGTATAACTCTTTTTACATCATGGTATATGTCATGGTATACACAGAAATGATAATCCATTGTACAACTCACTAGGATAAATCCAAGTGGCTTGCGGCCATGACTTGCCTGAAAGCTCCTGCTGCCTCGGCCCTGCTCAAGCTGTTCCAAGGAAGAGGGGATTCACATCATCTGAGCACAACTGTATTTTACTCACATTCCCTCAGTTGGGAAGTTCTTGTAAGGCAATCCATAGCCTCTGCCAAGAGTGAAAAACATACACTCAAAAGAGAATACTATTATAAGTAAATATCAAGAGACAGAAGAATCAAAGCTTCTAAGCCAATAGTGGTAATTCCAGCAAGCATTTCTCTGATGTTGCTGTACCTTTGCACATGCTGCTTCCTCTCTCCCTGGTGTTTTCTTTATCAACACAATGTAATGGACAACTAGAGTTTAATACACCAGGGTTGAAATGCTCCGCAACCAACCCACCAACTCTGTAATGGGCAAATTAATTAACACCTCTGAGACTGTTTCCCAATCTGGAAAGTGGAATACTGCTACTTCTACTAATTTCAAAGCGTTGTTTCTGAGTTCTAGGCAGAATAAGTAGTACAATGGTCAGCACAATCCCTGCGACATAAAAAGCCCTCCTTAAATGTTAGGTCTGTCTGGCCGACTTCTATTCAACTGCCATTGCTCCTCTGAAAATGTCCCTTAGACACTTCAATGATACCTCCTGTTTCTACACCACTATTAAAACACAACATTATAATCTGCTTTTTACCCACAGCCCCGCCTCCGCTCCCTAACCAGTGATCCTGAAAGGCCAGTAATTGTCCTACACTCTATACTTCCTGGCTACTGGCAAAGTTCGGCTGCTCTGGGCGTCCCATCGGTGTTTATTTTTGTCTTGGCGGACTTAGCCTAACGGGCTGCGAGGGTGGAGCGTCACAAAGGGCGGGAGCCGCCCGGGAGCCGCCCCCGGGCGAGAGGGGAGTGCCGGGCGAGCGTGCCGTCTCCTGATAGTCCCGCCGGGCCGAGCGGCGGCCCCCAATCGACCCACACAGAGCGATGGGGCCCAATCTCACCCGCCAGACTGTGCAGCGCTCCGTCACCGGCTCCCAGGCCTGGAAGGCAGTTTCGGGTAGAGAGGTTAGGGCAGCAGCAGCTGTCTCAAGGGAGGCGCCGGCGCCCAGACCCGGGTTGCCGCCCAGCGCGCCCGATCTCGCGCCCCCACCCCTCGCCCCGCCAGCACCCCGGTTCCTTTCAGACGCCGGCGGGCTCAGGAGCCTCGCGGACGTGACGCCGCGGGCGGAAGTGACGTTTTCCCGCGGTTGGACGCGGCGGTCGGTTGCCGGGCGGGGGAGGGCTCGTCCGGTTTTTCTCCGGGGACGTTGAAATTATTTTTGTAACGGGAGTCGGGAGAGGACGGGGCGTGCCCCGACGTGCCCGCGTCCTCCCGCCCCGGCCCGCCTCCACTGTTCCCGGGCTTCTGCCCCGCGGGAGGGTCATGCCGCCCAAAATCCCCCGCAGAGCAGCCGCCGCCGCCGCGGAACCCCCCGCGCCGCCGCCCCTTCCTGAGGAGGATCCCGAGCAGGACAGTGGCCCTGAGGACCTGCCCCTGGCCAGGTGAGCGAGCGGAGGCGCCGCGACGGCCGGCGGGCGAGATGGGCGCCCCGAGCGTGCGTCGGCACTGGCGCCGCGGCGTCTAGGCGGGGGGCGCGTCCTCGGCGGGGGTCGGGTCCCCGCGGGAGAAGGGTCCCTCCTTGCCCCCATCACTGGAGCGCCTGGACGTGGGTGACAGGGGTCTGGATTCGGGCCCGAGGGAGGGAAAGGCAGCTGAGAGGGGTCTCGGCTCCAGCCTGACAGGTGTCGGCGGGTGGGGCTCGGGTCTCTGAACGGAGTGACAGGTGCTCCCTTCCCTCCGCGAGGCGGGAGGCTCTCAGGCAGCGGATACTTTCGAGGTCCCATCTATTGCAAAAAAATCTAAAAATTTTTTTAGAAATTTAAAAATTGACTCACTGGTGTAGAGTTTTTCTCTTGTTGAGATTTGTAATACTCTGGTGGTCGTTTGACTTTCTGTCTTGGTCTCCTGCGATGCAACCGTGAAAGTGTTTTCCTCTGGGCGTGCACTGCATCTGAAGCCCAGTCCTGGGAAAGGCCAACCAGAAAAGCCTTGGACGCTGCTGCAGGGGCGCCATCAGACGTTAAGTGCATGGTCCTGGGCGTCAGTTACATTCGGGCTACTTGGCAGAGGTGGTTTGTAGGGTTCCTTTTAGTAGTGCTTTGAGGCCTTGGGGATTCAGAGCCACCCGAAGTGACTGGAGAAACCTCTTTAGAGGAACTGACGAATGTGCAAAAGTTTGGAGTCATTTAGCCTAAGCGCTAAAAAGTTTCTAAACTTTTTCTCATTTTCCTATTGCATAAAACTCTTCTAACTTATAAATGTTAGTCTTTTTTAGCAGGTCTTATTTCTTCAGTTTTGCCTTTGGCTTTGAGCCAGTGAGGATTCTAGCGTCCCCTCTTTTTTTGTTTTGTTTGAGTACAAAATGAGTGGTGTTCTTGTGCTTACCTGAAGCTTTTTTTTCCCCCCAAGTGGAATCTAAATTTAAGCAAGTTCATGATAACGCACTAGAACACGATAGGGAGATATTTGTTATATTGCAACACCTTATTTTTCTTGAGTGTGATACTTTATGGTTAACAAGCTAAGACTTAAAGAGTGTAATTGCCATCATTTTTGTCGGCACTGGTCCTACGTTGAGACTGCACTTCTAGTCCATCATAAAGTCCTATATCTTTCAACTCTCCAAACACAGAGTTCAGGCAAATTGTAAACAATTGGAATGGGCTTTTGGAAATGATCTGTGAAAGTCTATTAAAAATTCATATATTTAAAATGGACTGTCTTATGGATCAATTAAAAATTATGCTCACTAGTGAAAAAAAAAGTCTGAAAATCTTCTGGGAGAAGACAACTTTAGTGTCCAATTAAACTGTAATGTATCCAATACTTGAAAGTTTCCCTTTGGAAAAAGCAGTAAAGTCTACTATAAAGAATTCCGTGTTATCCACAGAGTTTTGGAAGCATTCTCAATTACTGTAGGGTAACCAGAAACACTGAAGTTATGCCCATCAGCTGGGAAAAATAGTGCTTTATTTTTTTCCAAAAATTATTTTATATTACTTTTAAATCATGAAACTACCAGAAATTCTCCTATACGTCAAAACCATACAACATCAGTATGCTCTTAATTATCCATATCCACAAAACGTTTCATTAGAATGGGCAATTAAAATCTATAGATTAACTATGTAGCAAGGGTAGAACCACTGCCTGGCAATCTGAAGCCAAGAACTTGCTAGTTCAGGGCCTAGTCCAACTGCACTTACAGTGATTAGTCTATTTCTACCTTGAGAGTTGAGATCTTATCTCTGTTGCATTAATTCTGGTCTAAGTGATGTAGTTGGAAGAAAAAAAACCATCACTAAGAATAGCATTCCACCTTCCTTTTTGAAATAATATAAGTTACTTATGTTTTGAAGGAGGGTTCGTAGTCTGGAATAGTGGTCAAGGCTATACATTCTGTAGTTACACTGTTGGGTTTTTAACAAGGTTTCTCACTTACTAGCCATGTCCTCAGGTGAGTGCTTTAACTGCTTTGATTTGGTACTTACCTATAAAACAAGAATAGTAAGAGTAATTACCTAATAGGGCTAAATGTGGGGATTCAGTGAAACCATTCATCTAAGGTACTTTGTATAGGGTCATAGAAAATATTCTAAAATTATTAGCTATTCCTCATACTGTTATTATTATTATTACATGTCAATTGGACATTAAATGATTAAAAAGGATCTAGCTGACAACTTATTTACTGCCTATCTTAGAGAAGGCTGAAATAAGCATAGCAGTAATTTATGTCAAATTAATCATCATGTAAGAAATGCTAGTAGGTAAAGAGATTATATGTGGTATTTATAAGTGTAGACTGCATTTTAACAAAGTCACTGATATTGATTGATTCTTTAATGTTATCTATGGGCTTTCCTCTTCCTGCTTTAATTGTTGCCTCAATTTTCCCAAATAGCTCTAGCTATTGTATTTACTTTCCTTCAATAAGCTACTTTCTGCTCTGAATATATGTGATTCACCAGGCCAGCAAACATATTTCACTGTGTAGTATCCTTATTTTGGAAAGACTGTGAAGAAGATAAACATAGATTTAAATTCTCAGTGGAGTTTTTTCAAAGATAAGTAAGATCGTAAAGTATTTGGTGATGATATCTTTCAAAATAGTGCTATTGTATGGCAAACCATCGACACAAATGTTTAATTAGTTTGATTTCTAAGTACGTGCGTATTATATGTGTATTTTTATCTGGTAGGCTTGGGTTTGAAGAAACTGAAGAACCTGATTTTACTTCATTGTGTCAGAAATTAAAACTACCAGATCAAGTCAGAGAAAGAGCTTGGTTAACTTGGGAGAAAGTTTCATCTGTGGATGGAGTATTGGTAAGAATTTTGTTATAATTTTTGAAAACAAGTTTCTCATTTTAAAAATAATTTTGAATCACTGGAAAATTTGGGAAATACAAAAATATAAAGAAATGAAAAGCTAGTAATAATTCTTTTACCCAGAGATAATTTACCTCTGATAAGAAAATTTTTTTAAGAAGTCCCCACATAAGGCCCCCACTAAAATATTTTAAAATAAATCTTCGATATAGTTTGTTCACAAATATACCACTACGATATGAAGACTTTTTAAAATACAAAGCCATACCTTATAAAATAATTTTTAATATGTAGCCAGTGTTAAAATTTCCTGATTGTCTCAGAATTAGTTTTGTTAGAATTCAGAATCTTTGATAATGTTGTGATATATTTCTTCCAATATTTTCTTTGCAGACATATAAGTGTGTATTTAATAATACCAGCAAATAATTACTAGTGCTTTATGTATACGAGGGGAATATTGTCAGCACTTTGCAGAGAACTCATTTAACAATCCATTGAGATATGAAATCTAAAATCTTTATTTTATATGTAAAATATGAAATTGTCATTAGACAGGTGATGACACTGAAGTAGAGTGAAGTTAAGTAACTTGACAAAAGTCCTTGGCTAATAAGATCTAAAATGCAGATTTGGGATCATCTGTATAGTTATATATAGTTACATGTAACTACATGTAGTTTAGTATCTTGCTTTAAAAATATTTTCTTAACATATCATGAGCATTCTATTATATTATTAAATTTTTTGATATTTAGTAAAGTAGTTTCAAACAGTATAATATTTTATCCATTAGATGTATTTTAATGTGTTAATATTATTGGACATTTTCTTCCCTAAGTCCTTGATTATTTATTAAATAAATTAATGAATAATCTCTGATTATTAGAATAAATTCTTCAAGCTGAGTTACTGAGTCAAAAGCTATGAACATTTTTAAAACACATAGTAATTATTGCTAAATTGTGCTCCAGACAGGCACTTTTAATGAATTTACTTTCTCAGCAGCATTGTATTATAATACAATGTCTGTCCATTTTTACTGATCAGATCAATGCAGCAAAGTATGTTTATGGCATCCCATAAAAATAACTATTTAAAATCACTAAAAAATGTCTCTGGTGTCTTAGTCCATTTGGGCTACTATCACAACCTAACATAGACTGGGTGGCTTGTAAACAACAGAAGTTTATTTCTCATAGTTCTGGAGTTTAGGAAGCCCAAGACCGTGGTACTGGCAGATTCTGTATCTGTATCTTTGTGACTCACAGACAGTGCCTTGTCACGGGCCTCACATGGTGGAAGGAATGGAAGCTTTCTTGGGCCTCTTTTATAAGGGCACTAATCTCATTCATAAGAGCTCTGCCTACTCACTACCTAAAGACCTCACCTCCTAATACCATGACATTGAGCATTATGTTTTGAGCATATGAATTTGGAGGAGACACAAGCATTTAGTACATAGCATCTGGTAATAAAAGAAAGAAAAGAGATCCCACAATTCCAAAGATCTAACATATTCTAGAATCCCTTACTGAAAAGGGAAGAATATTGAAGTATTTTGGATGAGTGAATCAGAAGCGGTCATCCCAAAGCATCTAATGTGTATTTCCACTGATTTGGATACCTCATGTACAGAGCTGTTTCTGTGCATATGCAGCTAAAGGGAGTCATAGCTTCTTTGCTTCTTTCTCTCCCATGAATACTAGGCTTTTAATTTTCAGAAAGTTGAGAAGTGGTAACTGATTATAAGGTGTATTAGTGAATATAGGTAGTTTTCTAAGTGTGATGTGTTCCAGATCTCTTGGCAAGACAATATAATAGGTCTCAAGGGTAGTTCACACAAAAGTTTTTTGTAGTGAACTGTAGCAATAGTAGTTTTAATTGTAGAGGCCCTTTTGGGTTTCACCTTGAATACATAAAGGAATAAATGTTACTACTTTCTTATCCTACCCTTTTCTCTTCCTGGCTTTGTTGCTACCTTCCATAGGAACTGGAAGAGTTTAAATCTCATTTCCTAATCAGGCTCATGATGGGGACTTAGTTAGTCATGTGAAATCATTCCTGGTTGTGTGCTTGAGGAAGATAAGAAAGGGATTTTCTGTTACCTTTAGGATTTCGGGTACCGTTTTAGGGGGCGTGACAGAGGGTGCTGTTGTTTTGTGCTGTTATAATTCACTATACTTTTACCTATAAATTTTATCTCAAGTTAGGTTTTTGAGGGTTGGCCTGAGAAATTATGCAATAATTTTCTAAGGCGGAATGTGACAGAGTGTGAGAAGCAAATGTAATGACAAAATTAACCTGTTTCTGATGCAGCTATTCTTGTTGCAGTTGGCTGTCTTTGAAGCAAGAAGAGGAATCTGGTAACTCAGAGAACTCTTTTTGGCAACTAAAAGTAGATGATGTTATTTGAATAGAGGTTGGATTTGTCATCAGACTGATCTGACTCAAGTGTAAGATCTACTGTTTACTAGCTCCATGATCTTGAACAAGTTACCTAAAATCTCCAAGTGTCAGTTTTCTTATCTGTAAAAGTAACTAACAGTGACTTCTGGATCTTGGATTACTGTGTGGACTAAATAAACTCATTTACATAACATACTTATTAGTATATGAGCATTAACTGAGTGCCTAAATTAGGCTGTACAAGCAGAATAATTTAAGAACTACCCCAGAAAATTTTATGTTAATATAATTTTTTGGAGAACTTAAGAATCAGTTAAAATGGTGGAATTTTTAAATGCATGTGTAGTATCTTAGAATGGTACTTTTGCTGAAATTCATTTTTTTAAGTTCTTGAGAGTCAGAAAAGTTGTTTATGAATACATAAAAGTGTCTATCCTTCTTAAGGAAAGTTTTGTGATATTTTGTCTAGAAAAGTATTTACTCCTGTTTGTATATGTTTAATAACTGTGTAGGACATGATTGCTGTCATTAGATTGTGTTTATGCTGCTTATATGAATATGCATATGAGTAAGGACATTCACATTAAGAAATTGGTCAGGAGTGTTGTTCATGTTGTGACTTAAGGCAAATTAGTTGTTAGGATTTTGGTTTTCTTTCTGCATCTTGAATGCAGCATGGTAGAATGGAAAAGGCCTTGGATCTAAAGGCAGAAGCTTTGTAGTTTTAGTTATATGATTGTAGGTAAATTTGTTCATTTTTCAAGTCTCAGTTTACTCATTTGTAAAGCAGAAACAATATGAATGTCAGCCTCTTAGGGTTTTGTGTGTGTGTTATGTGTATGTGTGTATTCAAGAGCTTTGGAATATACTGCCATTGATAAAGGCATTTGTTCTTTGTGATGTGAATCATGTTTAGAAAGATAATTGAAAAGAATACTTTGGAATTGGACTAATGCTAGGATTTCATTGGACTAATGCTAGGATTTCATTCATATGAAAGGCCTCTACCTGTTATTTTCCAGTTCTTAGTAATATGTGTAGTCTTTCTGTTTGAAGATGCTGCTAATATTCTGATTACATGTGGGTGTTACTAGAAAAATTCATTTAAGAGCAAGTACATGTGTGTTGTATTTTATCTTATAGACATGGACTATTTGCAACTTTTATTTCTGATTCCATTTCCAAGATTAATTTTTTTTTTGAGAGGGCATCTCTCATATTTATTGATCAAATGGTTGTTAACGACAATAAAATTCTGTATAGGGGACTCAATGCTCAATGTACAATCATTAATCCACCCCAAGCCTAATTCTCATCAGTCTTCAATCTTCTGAAGCATAACGAACAAGTTTTTACATGGTGAACAAGTTCTTACATAGTGAATAAGTTCTTACATGGTGAACAGTACAAGGGCAGTCATCACAGAAACTTTCAGTTTTGATCACACATTATGAACTATAAACAATCAGGTCAAATA